TTTCCTGATTTGCTATATTTTCATTGTCTTTGCTTCAAATTAACTGTTCACTGAATAGCGCATTCCAAAGCGTCATTTCTAGTGGTGTTTTTAATACTGAAGGCAAAAATAAAAATAACATTGGCCAAAATGGACAAGACTAGCATCTTTGCCTTGGAGGAAATAAACTTTTATGATTATAAGATAAAGTAAATAAAAAATTATGATCATGTGCTTACCACTTGCCAGCTTCAGTTAAGTTGGTTTTCACACTTATCTTATCCGGCTACACGTGTTTCCTCGACACTGCGGCTCTGCTATATGGACACGTGTTCAACGTGTCGCTTTCACTTAAGAAGAAAGTAAGGTCATAGGCCATGACTCACGCCCTGATTCAATCTACCACTCTAGTTTCATACTTAATCCTCTTTCGCGTGCTCTCCCCGAACCGTTAAAACGTGTTTATCAAGAAGCAGAAGCCGATACATGCCGTGAACTAGGCTGTTTCTGTCATGATTATGCTAGCATTTTTCGAGCATTTTGAAGAGGCAAAAGCATAAATCATTTTCCTAGCCTTTTAGGGGCATTTTTTCTCGGAAATACATTTTTTTTTCTAAGAGAAATAACACAAAAGTAACAATAGACTAACGACGTAAACTCGAAATTAAATTTAACCCTAATACAGCCGTATAGAGGCTCATTTTTGCTGTATTAAAACCATATTCACTTTTATACACACTACTTGTACATTTTTATTAGCTTTAAACCCTCTCAGATGCCCTTTGGAATGGCTAAAAACAGCTTCTCTTGGATGGCCATTATCGAGCAATTTAGTGACTTTATTGCGGGAAACCGAGCATTTTAATGGGAAAACTGAAGCGTTAAGGTGGAGCATTTACGTGGAAAAACAAAAGCATAATGTACAAAAGCGCCTATTACAAGCTTTTCTTTTTCTTCCCTTGATGAAAACACGCCACTGCACGTCACTGCAGAAACGCCAAGCCTTAACACGCGTTCACAGCTCACTAATCCTTTGTTGATTACCGGGAGGTAAAAGTTTTCCACAGTGGTTACGCAATCTATAGGCTGCGATTATATCCTCCCTACATCCGGCCCCGGTTGTTCAAACGCCCAGGATAGCGCTATCCACCGGATAAATAACTATCCAGCTGGCCCTGGTCGTTCAAACGTTGGATACGTTATCCACCGGATAAATCACTATCCAGTGGATAAGTATTACGGAAATAAAATAAGCCATACGCTGCATAGTGATTCATCCGGTGGATAGCACTATCCAACGTTTGAACAACCGGACCCTGATAAATAACAGGGAAATCAATTGCGTCATCCAGTGGATAGAGATATATCCGGCCGATATGGGACCTGATCTCCATATATCTTTCGTGGGAAGAAGGGCGTTTTTTTTTTTCTCCTCTTTTCTCCAAAAAACTGCATTTCCTTCGCAGGTTACGCGAAATGGCACCTCCCCAACTTCTCATACTGTCTGACCCGGCGGTGGTCAAAATATAGATAGCATCCTGTTCCACTATTCTACGTCCCCGACCGTTGGCATAATGGCCGCACGAAGGTAAATATATAAATAGAGTCGGCTAGGCCGGATTGTTTGGGAATGTGCCATGCTGTAAGCATGGGCGTTCACGATCATTAACCGAAACTCTCCGAAGATTTCAAGCGATGATGATGATAATGTTATGATGATGATGATGATCATAATGACAGTGTATTAAACATACGAATCGAAATGTAATCATCAAAGCACTGAAAGTCAAAACAATTACGTATACCACTAATCACTAGTGGGCACGTATAAGTATTGACTAGGAATAGATTAGAGTGAATATACACTATTTTCAGAGGACACTCGTTTAAAAAATCGCATTTTAAAGAAACTGGACCCGTCATCGGAATTATTAGGGAGTTCTAGCAACGACGACGGCGACGACAACAAGAACGTGAAAAAAGCAATAGGTTTAGAGCGGTTTTCACTTGACTGTCGAAAGGGATTGGTTTTGGTTTTGGTTTTGGTTTTACTACGCCCTTTGGTTGGCTAGTGTATTTACTTTGGTTTTGGTTTTACGACAGTCAAGTGAAAACCGCTCTATTGAGCAAGACCGTGAACAAGTTTGCACGTGCATCACGCTTTTTTGTACATTTCGTTGCTGTTACTGCACGACTACGACGTGAAAATGCCTAATTTTATGTTTCATGGAGGACGTAAACAAGCGACGACCAAATTTTCTTTTTCTTTCTTGACTTGAGTGCGGTCCCCCAAAAAATCAAATTCAGGAAAATTTGCCTGCATTAGACATTTTCAGCGAATTGCAGTAAACGCGACAAAGTTTGAAAAAACGCCAATTGATTTTAAAAGTGACGTTTTCGCTTCCGTCGCCCTTGTCGATTCTAAAATTCCCTATTATTTAATCCTTGAACCCCTAAAAGAGTCCAGTTGATAAATTCTCTCGAAAAATATTAGCGCTTATTCAAGCGTAAAGAAGATTAGAAAAAAAGTAAAGTAGTAGTACCAAAGGAATTATGGAATTGCATGGAGAACAGTAACAGTTTGATCACGTTAGAAGGTTTCTGTTCTGTCGCACCAAAGCTATGGCAACATTATCGTACTCTTTTGAGCTCTCCAAATTCCATGACTTTCCGTGGCCTTTTCCATGACCTCTTCAGGTTTTCCAAGACCTTAGGTTTAGCAGTCAGTTTAAAAAAAAATTAAAAACGTTCCTTGTTTTAGGGTATTTTTGACCTTAAACAATTCAACAGACACAAACTCTGGTGTCCACCAGAATGCGTGCCGTTTGTGCTGTTAATACTCTTCTCTATGTTACATTGTCTTTGCCCTGTCATCTGCAGTAACTAATTTATCAAACAAAACTTTCAAGAACCGACAGTCAAATTCCATGACTTTCCAGGTTTTCCAAGATCTGTACGAACCCTGCATCAGGGTGAAGTTGTTTAAAGCCTAATTAGGGATTTTAAGATACCAAGACGGTGACGGCCACGAAAACGTTGCTTAAAAAGTGAATTTGTGTTCTTTCAATTTCTATCGCTACTACTCCAACTCTGCATTTACTTGGTCAAATGCAAGCAAACTCTTTTTGAGCCGAATTTCTGAGAGCCATGTTCAAGTTAAGAAAGATAAAGAAAACTGTTAGCCGTCGCTTGTTTACATCCTCCATAAAACGTGAAATTAGGCATTTTCCCGTCGTAGTCGTGCAGTGACGATAACTAAAAGAAATATACTGAAAAGCGTGCTGCACGTGCAGAGGTGTTGTTTTGCCTATTCAATCTAATAATTTTGCTTTTTTGACGTTGTCGTTGTCGTTCTCGTCACCGCCGTGGCATCTTAAAGTCCCTATTAGCAACCCGGGGAGGGGTGGGGGCGGAAGGTATACTGCTGTGAAGGGTATGGTTTGTAAGCAGTGTGGTCTGGGATAGAGAATAGAAATCAGAGAGCTTGGGTCTAAAATATGGTACCACTTTCCAGGAAACTAGGTGTAGACTAGGGCAAAAGGGAAGTGACCATCCAAAAAAGGAAATTGGTAAGGTTAAATTTACCCCTAACCCAGTTTGATATCAACGAAAGCATCGGACTCAGTAGTTTCTAGAAAATAGTGACTCTAGGACAGGGAAGGATTTTGACATTTTGGTCAAGTATGGGGTAGCAAAATTATTGAGCTAAACAAGTCTGGTATAGGCTAAGCGTTCGGGGCTCCAAGCAGCACCTTCACACCCATGATTACTGCTAACCAACCACGGTTAGTACTAATCATTGGTTGGATTTGAGCTAATCATCCTTTGAACAACCAAATCAGCCGAGGAATTAAAATACAACAATGAATCTTTTCTTCAGTGCTCTGCAGCTTTTCATCACACTCTTATGGAGAGTTCCTTTATCCTAACTAGACTAGTTGAAAGATGATCATCTCAAGGCTGCATACGCAGCGCTCCATCGAGCCTTATAACTTCGCCATTTATCATTGGGTTTTCAATAATACTCTGCACCAACTGCCCATACTCAGAAGGATCTCCCAAACGACTTGGAAATGGAACCTGCTTTCCTAACTGGTCTCGAACTTTCTCAGGTAAACCCATCAACAGTGGAGTAAGAAACAGACCTAAAAATAAAACCAATCCTATGTTATAGAACTGAGCCTCTCAAAGACTAAAGAATGATACTTACGGTCAAACCCTCGATACAAAGGCTCTTTTAGGGTGGGTATGCATGTCTCTAGTCTGAATTTCAAAACCTGTCGTTTTGCATATTAAGGAGGAAGCAATGTCCTTGTTGGCATTTTACTATTACATTTGCACTTGTCTTTGTCATTGTTGTACTAGTTCGACCCATCCTTTTGTCATTTGTCATCATTTCAGCTGCCTTATGTCGCTGTTTTTAGGCTATATCACTTGTTGGAATTTTACCCTAACAGGGCCTTGATACAGGGATCAAAGGGATGGAGCCAGGTTATTGGTTTATGACTGCAATCAAGGGGTTAATATACCTTGTTAATAGTTACAGAGCAGGATCTAGTCTAGCTAGTAGTAGTTTAAAAGGCACTCCACTTAGCAGGTTTATAAATACCCTACGGTAATCACACGTATGGTATGAGCTAAGCCTGATCGAGGGCTTAACTTGTGACTACCGAGAAAAAAACCAGCAAGCCAATGATTTTACTACATACAGACAGACTGACCATTTACTGACCAACAAATTTGCATTGAAAAGAATTTTTCACTGATGAATATATGATTTGTATGTTTGTATATATGGTATGTGTACAGAAAATGATATACACAATCTTTTTTATTCTTGAATAACACCTGCCTTGTACTGTACACCTGATTGAAAAAAAATGTGTTCTTGCCTCCAATTCACTTTCAAAAACGCCTTTAAGGTACCATGCGCTTAAAAGGACTCAGTCAGCTTTGAACCACACTGGCATGGACACTAGATGTAGTTCTGAAAATGGTTTACCTCAAACCAAAATCAAAGGTACAGATCAGACACACCTAGAAATCTGCCTCAATTTTGCCTCCAGTATTGTTTCATTCAATCTTTGATTGTTAGTGAAACAGTGTTCCTATCTGAGTATTCTTCTACTCATGTTATAATAATTATTATATCATTTCATCATATATCATTAAAAATAGTATGAATGACATATCTTGTGATATGCAAATCAGCTAGGAGATGGTATCTAATGCACATGTACATCAGCTGACTGTGTCACTTTAAGTAGTATTGTTCTGACACTTTCTAGCAAAAGGAGTATAGAAAGTTTACTTGAAACTGTAACCTACCAGGAGCAATTGTGTTAACTCGGATTCCATTTTGAGCCAGGTCTCTTGCTATTGGTAGAGTCATTCCAACAATGGCACCTTTTGAGGCAGAATATGCTGCTTGGCCAATCTGACCCTCATATGCAGCTACACTTGCTGTGTTGACAATCACCCCTCTTTCTCCTCCCTCATTTGGTTCATTTGTTGCCATTTGCTCTGCAACAAGCCGAATTACATTAAATGTTCCAATGGTATTTACCTATGGCGTGTAAAATTTAAAATCAAAATCACTTCATTACAAATGCATGCACAGTAGTTGTTTGTTGATTATGCACCAGTCAATGTAAACCCCTGCACTCCCTTGGTCAGGACATAGTGGGTATTTGCGAGGAATTTTCCATTACTTGACGAGTGAAAGAGCTGCAAGTATAGGGGGCTTTGATGACTTTTGCATGCCATCCAAGAACAGCAGGGGAATGGACCGGGGTATATCTTCCTCCAAGGTGGACTTTGTCATGAATCCTTGAAAGTTAAAGGTGTTCTTTAATCCGGTTCTATGAAACAGTGTGTTTGTTTAAATTTTGATAGACTACATCAGTTTAAAGTGCATTTACTAACATCTATCCCTCTTCTACTAGCATGTAGAATTCAGTCATACTTCTCTGAATTGTTAACTGTAGACAAAGACACACAAATATTTTACACCTCTTGAAAAGCTTTGTATGTAGTAACATATATGTGTTACATCTTGACGTGACAAAATAAAGTTTAAACCATTTACATTAGCCTGTGTCTTTTTTTACAAAAATCGGGGATATGAGCGGGGTCATTAGCTTCAAATAGAGGAAAAAGCTGTCCTGGGGGGGCAGGGCATTTTACAACTTTGGCAGTCCAGAGTGCTTGTCAAATGCCCTCCTATTTTCCAGCTGGGGGGGGGGGGCTGCAACCATTTAAATTTACTGGTGCATTATGATTTTGCCCTAGTACAATAATAGAAAAAATAAAATTATAATTATTTTAGTACTAGAAAATTTTTTTTGGGAGCAACATGAAATTTTTGCAAAAAAAAATTTGCCTAAAAAAAAAACACCAAGCACCCCCTTCCAGGCAAAAGATAATCTTGTTTAAAATAAAAAAAAATAAAACGCATAAACGAAGACAAATGGGGGGGCTGCAGCCATTTACATTGACTGGTGCATTATGATTCGGCCCTAGTACCATGATAGAAATAATAATATTATAATTATTTGAGTACTAGAAAATTTTTTCGGGGACCAACATGAAATCTTGGCCAAAAAACATTTGCCTAAAAAATGAACTCCTAGCCACCCATGCCAGGCAAACGTTCATCTTGTCATAAATGAAACAAGATAAACTGCATCAACGTAGACCAAGGAAGACAGTTACTTCATCCTTATATTTACTCAATAAAAAAGGACTAAAAGAGAAATTTACCTTTAAAGCTTTTTCAAATTGATTAAGAGGGTGCACTCCCTTTTTTGAGAGAGTTCGCATTGCAATGCCTATTCCAGCGCAATTGACTGCGACAGTCAGGGGTCCAAACTTCTCATTAGCAAGCTTGATGGCTTGACTAACATCAGCTTCTGAGGTAACCTGGAAAAAAAGGGGATAAAATAGAGTAGAAAAATTGTTGGGAGGCTTAAGAATTAACCAAGAACAACTACTTGAGTCTTCATGCAAAAGAAACGTTATCATGCATGGTGTGGCAATTATTACACTCTCAAATTCTAGAGAGGTAAAGATAAGGTGAAAACTAAGAAGGGTTGGCAAAAGCCAAATAAATTACCTCTCTTCTCCAAAGAGGTTTCTTTGGGTAAGTTGGAGATTAGGGAGAGGCAAAAAGAGGATGTGTTTCCTTCACAAACTCATGTCCACACTATGCAAAGCAGCCCCACAGCTATTCAGAACCTCTAATTTAATCAGACCCTGGCCCTATAGGTTGCGGCTCTTTAGTTTTTGGGCTAGACTCCATCATAGTCTCCTCCATCGTTAACTTGTTCACTTAAGGTGATGTTACACGGGATGATTCACAATGATGATTTTTGGCGCAACACAATGTTGCAACATTCTTGCCACATTGTTACAAATGGTTGCAACATTGTTGCAACATTGCAATGCCATGTTGCGCTAAAAATCATCGTTGCGAATCGTCTCGTGTAACATGACCTTAACTTCACAACCAATCCTGTGAGGTCTTAATTCCCAGAGCTGCAAGGTTGTTCATGCAAAGGAGAGAGAAAAAATTACAAGTTCTTGCAAAAGGAAAGAATTCACGCATATGTACATGTGTGTAAGCAACTTAGCAGTAATAGTCTGTTCATTTCCTTCCAAGGAATATGTAAGGCAAGAATATTTTGCCCATCTTAACCAAAAATGGAATTCCGAAAAACGTGAAAGACACTCCCCTAACCCCACCCCCCCTTATGCCCTAAATTTTGACCTACCGATTCCAGTATCTTTGGCAGTATCTTTACAGTTCAAGGCTATTTTAGCTTCTATATACAAGCTTCTAGGATCTAGAAGCCTAGAAATGTCCCTTAAAGAACATATTAAAATATACGGTTGGCTCTTTACGAAACATTATTTTTATGCCGGCTTGAAGCTACTCACATCAGCTGGCGCGAAGCAACAATTCTCCCCAAGTTCCTTAGCTACATTTTCTCCATCGCTAGAAGGAAGATCAGCTATAACGACTCTTGCACCACGTCGTGCCAGTCTTTGAACAGTTGCCCGTCCCAATCCAGAGGCGCCTCCACTAACAAGGCAAATGGCTTTCTGAATGGCAGCCATGTTGGTTCACACGTGTAATAGAGCCTGCGTATTATTCGTAAGAATGGCAGCGGTACTTCTAACAAAGAGTAACGAAACATCACGCTCTTTCGCGCAGAAAATCGACTTGCCCGCCCCTAGGTTCGTTATTTTCACATATGGCTTCTAACAATGCACCCTGTTTACCCCTAAAACTAGAAATACGTTTTCGCAAAAATCTCGCGAAGCAAACGGGGTCAGCAGTGAGAATAAACAGTAAAAAGCCAAAGGGTAAAAAAACGATGAAAAAAAAAAAGAAGAAGTAGCCACGCAGGGGTATGAATCCAGTTGCACCGCTAACTTCCTCCAGCGAAAAGGTACGGCCTCTGACCACTGAGCCATGCAACCACTACGCCGAGTACGTGTCAAAATTAATAGTGTTGAAGTATTTTTCTCTGCTATTCACACTGTTTGAACCTTATGGAGCTGTATTTATTATGCATTCAAAGATACGTTTGAGGAAAAATAGCTCAAACGAGTATTTCAAAACCAATTCGCATCATTTCCGTGTTTATTCACTCTAGGGCTTTATATAAGCCGCTCGATTAACAGACTGGTTTTCTTCTTCGCTGCTCTCGCTGANATTATGCATTCAAAGATACGTTTGAGGAAAAATAGCTCAAACGAGTATTTCAAAACCAATTCGCATCATTTCCGTGTTTATTCACTCTAGGGCTTTATATAAGCCGCTCGATTAACAGACTGGTTTTCTTCTTCGCTGCTCTCGCTGAAGTTCAGGTCACCGTTCTTTCGCTGTTAAACCTTCCACGGCAAGGATTTCCAGAAATTTGTCCAACTGGGCACTCACTGTTGTGTTTGCAGCCCGCTGTTATTTGCCTCAGAAATACTTTGTGATTCGCCAACGTACAATAAACAGAGGATGAATAAAAAGTCGCTGGCCGTGTTACCTGGAAACCCAAAATGCACGATGACGTCATGTTGAATGACGGAATTGTTTATGGCTTGTTGCTAGGCAATTGCGGATACAAAACCGATAGAGTCGCGGATGTACACAAAGATGTAAAATGATTTAAGACGCCTCAGTGAATATGCATAACTATGTCGGGTGGTGTTTGAGATTGAGATTGAGCGTGACATTGTATTTTGCTACCCTAAGGTGTTGGCAAGAGAAGTTTTTTGTGCCCTGGTTTTACTGATCCGCCCAAACCATCCGGGTGGTATCGCAAATATATAGGGAACAAAACAATAGAGGAGATGTCAGCCAATAAGAAAATACCGACGTCACTATAACTGATAAAACTGATTGGACAATACTGATTCTCTATCTGTAATTGGTTTGTTCGTTGTTGTGATTTAGAATGGCAAAGGGAAGTACCTTCGAATTAAACTTTTGCTGGGCTGCTCGTTTAATTTAAACTTTTTTTAAGAACTTAAAGTACGTTGAAAGAAACGGCATTCTGATTATCGATGCAGACATTCCCAGATTCATTAAACGGCGACGCTTATATTATATTGAATTCTTCGTTGTTTTGGTGACGCTAGTAAACCGCGTTAATTACTATAAAGAACTAATCATGACTAATCGGATAAAACCGTGAAACTGTGAACATCAAATCATAATACAAGAAGGAAAAATCAACGACTGTCCCCTTAGCGGACCGGCGTTCATTTGTAGTTTACTGTACCGTTAGCACTTTCACAGCACGACCAAAACTGTACTGATATCGATAGCTGTTTTTTTCTTTTGGTGCACACAAAGACTGTTTCATTTAACCACTGATTTTAAGCTAGAGAAGAGAATGACGACGTGTAAACGACGAAATTCAATAACGAGCTAACAACGCAAACTGACGCGCATTGGTTGTCGCCAAACCAAAATTGATTCATAGTGTGTTTATGCTTTTTTCCGAGTTTGCTTTTAAAATTCATAAAAACAAAACATCGAACGTGACTCATAAGACCCTTTGTTTTAGATGAACAGTAACTATGCAAATTGTTATTGTGTTTGCGGAAACCATTCTGACCATTGTTGGTTTGTTGGGGTCGGTGGTGAGCTTAAAACAAGACTTACTATTTGTATTTTTTACTCGTTATATCTAAAAACGACCAACGCAAATAGACATTCTTTTAATGTCCCTGCCTCAACATTTCTTTAGAGCCCGCAATGCAAAGTTCCTGACATCCTTTCTAACCACTGGCATTAGCGTTGTGACATGGTGACCGCGTACGGTTTTAAAACACTTTGGCGCAACAATGTCTCCTCGGCGCTCAAGCAAAGGCGTTTTTGAGCTACGCACGCGTCAATAGGAAGTGAGACGTTTTTTTTTTAATGATGTCATGAAGCCCAAATTTCTATTACCAAGTGCCTTTAATTAGTCTTCTACAGTAGAACCTCGATAATTCGAACTTAGCCTGGCCCGCAGACGTCCTTTGGGGTTCGTTTGTCACGCATTCATTTCTCCCCGTGGGGGAGAAATGAATGCGTGACAAACGAACCCCAAAGGACGTCTGCGGGGAGGCTAATTCGAACTAGGATAACTTGAATTCTCCGCTAAATGGAACTAAATTTCCTTTCCCTTGATCAAAATTTCCCTGAAATTTACCCCGATGACTCGTATTCCCCTTTAACTCGAACTGTTTTTCGTTTCCCTTCACAGTTCGAGTTACAAGGGTTCTAATGTAGGACGCTTTTCCCGAAAATGTGGGCAGCATACTGCCCAAGCAAAGGATGCAAAAAGTTCACTTTCGGTTGACGTGCGTCGCTCAAAACTGACGTCTTTGCGTTTTTTTGGATTTGATCTTAATATCTTTGGCTTTCTTTAGTCCCCTTTCTCGATTTCTTCTTTATTTTATTTTCTTGTTTTCACTTCAAGTGGGCTTATACTAGGTATTAATCCCAGCTGAAAAAAATTTTCGAAAAACGTCAAGGCTCAGTCCTAGGAATATCCAAAAGACATAGGAAAGGCGGCAGTGTAACAAGATTTTATTCTGGCTGCAAGAATTTCATTTTTTCCCTTCCAAGAATAGATTTTAGGAGTTTTCTCCTGTAATAAGACTTTCCGATGGTCCCGACAGTGTCAGCACGACTGCATAGGTACTGAAGACACTAAAGCTCTTTATTAATTTTCAGTAAATATATATTTCGCGGAGCTGCAAACTGTTCGCAGGATAAACTTAAAGGCTGACGAGAAAACGTCATTAAAAAATCGCGAGCTTTGAGAACACGCGTAATTTTAGGTGTGGCCTGCCAGCAGTCCAACTTTTGCTTGTGAGATCAGAGAAGGACTACCCCGCTCGTGTCTCCGGTCGAAGGCCGAAGACGAGTCGCGGCCTGCGGCCGACGAAGCTCCTCGTCACACGCGAGAAAAAATCTCTGGTACCCAGGGTAGACAAGGAAGTCTGCTCATCCGGACTGGACCACCGTCAGCCCGTAATGAAATGACCGTTTATACCTGAGAACCTTTGCAATATTTTTCGATTTTATGACAACCATTTTTTGGTTTTTGAAAAAATATATATATTGAGGATTATTATTACAATTACAAAATAATTTATTTGGAGTTACAAAATATAAAGGATTCTTATTACAATGTTTTAAATTCAATAGCAACTGAAATACAAACAATTTTCTACAATTTTTCATGAAGCCTGCCTTTTACTTTCGCGTCTTCCCTACTGTCTGAGAGCCTGGAACAGGCTACCACACAAGCTACAATCTGCCTTATCAATAAAACAAACTGAACCCCAAAAAGTACACTGCACTATCAGATACCGTTATCACTACAGTTTTCTCTTATTTTAGTACACTAACAGCACTTTTGCTAATTTGAAATTCTCCAGCCTAATAATTAAAAGTTCATCCCTCCTTGAGGTAAGATCCTAAGTTTTCCAGGTTTATGGCATTCGCACAGCACCATCAATCCTAATAATCTCGCCATTAATTGTTCTGTTTTCTATGATGCTTAGAGCTAGGTGTGCAAAGTCTTCTGGGTCTGCAATACGCTTGGGAAATGGTATGATTTGGGCAGCACTTTCCTGCTGGGAGGGTTCTGGTCTTCCTTTGGTGAACATTGGTGTGAGGAACATACCTGATGTCAGATAAAGAAAACGTTTTAAAGAAATGACAGAGTGAAGATTCGGCAGTTGGAACATATTGCAAAGAAATGTCAGGGGCACCCAACGAGGATATAGTTCAAAACCACATAAACATAGCATTGTTGAACGTAATTTAGTATTTAAACGATAGAAAAGGGTTATTTTTATCCCCTAAAAAATTTTCATCTGTTCGGATTTCCTAGCTGAAAGTATAGTGATCCGAAAATTATAGGGATCAAAATTTACCTTTTCGAAAATTTCAGCCAGAAAAAAGGCTCCTGAAAATTCTAGGTGACCTTTGTAGGGTAAAAATCTGTTAAAAATGGGCAATTATACCATTTTTTTTATGTTCGAAAATCCTAGGAGAGGCAGGCAAGCAAGAAATTTTACAGAAAATGATCCGAAAATTCTAGATCTCAAATCGTCTTCCAAACAGATAATTTTCCGAAAATTATCGTTGGGTACCCCTGAAATGTTCTTCAACACCTACAAATTCTTGAAAGTTTTGTAGTGGGCTAAATGAAACTGGGTACTAGGCTAGATGAACACCGGAATTCTGTGCAAGTCTGCGATCTTAAGTCTCTTTTGTCCCAACACGCTAAAGACGCAGGCCACTCCATCAACTGGGCCAGTGTATAAATCATTGGCCAGGAAAACCACCTACTTTCACAAAGATATGCAAGACCATAAGCACTCATTATTAGTGAATAACAGCAAACAGCATTGATGGAGGGATCTGGGTGTGTTCTGGAAGTTCTGCATAAATTTCAAGAATTTGTTGGTGTTGAAGAATATTTCTTTGCAATTTCAAAGAAATAATCTTTTGAGTTGCAATAAATGGGAAATTCGTACCCCCCTCCCTGGCGTTCCCCCGTATTAAGGAATGAAAGGAACCACCTAGGGTGAGCTATAGGTCCTGGTAGCAACTAAAGTACCCCATTGTCCTACCCGTCAGCCATCCAGGAAGGTGGATGATCTGGGCAGCACGCCCCCAAAACAAAAGGGGTAGGACTCACAGGAGCTGGGTGTAGGGGGTACAGGAAATGTGAATTCTGCATTGCCAAAACTGTTTATAAATATATGCAAAAGTTTAAACTTTGAATACTCAACCAAGGTGTCAAATATATGTCCCAAAAACTGTGCAATTTCTTCCCACACATCTGTTGTTGTTGTTGCTGTTTTTTTTTTCTTTGCAGAGGTTAGCAGGACTGGTTTTTTTATCCATGGAGAGGAGGGTTTAAACATGAAAAATCACATTTGCAATAGCCTCAGCAGCTTCCTTGCAAACCCCAGTCTTGTTATACAATGACCTTCCCTTTTGTGCCCTGCCCTCCTGCTTTAGTCCCATAATTATAAAGCTACCAAAGTTTTCTACTTGAAGTACGAAACAATTCAGTGTCTTCCTATCCCATGGACTTTTTAAGGGGTCTAAGTCACATTTTAAGTAAACAATATCCACCTGGTGCAATTGCATTCACCCTGATGCCATACTGTGCCAGATCTCTAGCCATAGGGAGCGTCATACCATTGATTGCTCCTTTAGTTGCTGAGTATGCAACTTTTCCAGCTTGTCCTTCATAAGCATGAACACTGGAGGTGTTAATAATCACCCCTCTCTCCCCTCCCTCATCAGGTTCATTAGTCGCCATTTGCTCTGCTGCAAGGCGGGCCACATTAAATGACCCCGTTAGATTAATCTGCAAAACAAATCCTTTAAAGTAAGCTATGATGAATAATATATTCATTTCACTGGTCACTGGAACACAAATTCATCGTGCAATTACTTTTTGAATGTGTTTGTGGAAACTGAATTGAATTTTCAGTATCAATCATGTGTGAAACAACATGTCTGGATTTGTGAGAAATTGTCCTTAATGCATGAGATCGATGTCTTTAGTCTGCAGGCATGAGTGATCACTTGCAAGCGAAAGTTTGATCATGTCACACCACTACTTATTGAGCTAAACTGGCTCCCTGTCCGTCAGCGTATTGTTTTTAAGATCTTATTGTACACCTTTAAGGCACTCCATGGTGCGACTCGAACGTACCTGACTGAGCTCATCAGTCCTTATGTTCCTAGGCGAGCTCTTAGGTCTGCTGACCAACTTCTACTGGAGCAGCCAACATACAAGCTCAAATTGATTGGCTTGAGGGCTTTCTCACTGTGCACGCCTTACCTCTGGAACTCACTTCCATTTGAGATTAAAAGCAGCGCATCTGTCTCTATCTTTAAAGCTAAGCTTAAGACCTATCTTTTTCGACAAGCATATTTTTAGACTTTCAATTTTTTATTATTATTATATTAAGGACTTTTAGACTTTTAATTTTTTCAATTCTTAGGATTTTTTACATTTTTTAGTGTATAGATTATAATATATTTGACACTGTAAAGTGCATTTGGGCATTAGGAAAATGCGCTATAGAAATAAATTATTATTTATTATTATTATTATTATTATTATTATTATGAGACTATTTAACAATATTATTATTCCTCGAGCCCAAATGGGCTCTGAGTCAATAGCCGAATGGGCTATTGACTCAGAGGCCATGAGGGCGAGAGGAATATTATTGTTTTAGTTAAATCCAACTAGTTGGTCAAAAATATCGAGACAAAACAACTTTAGCTAGCAAAACATGATTCAGCCGCCACTGTTTTGGTTTTCAAAGCCAGCTCTTTTCTCTATTAGTGGGCTATAAGAGCATTGATAATAGACCTCTAGTTGGATTTTACCCAAATCTGTTATCCCAACCTCTGCATCTGATTGTGATAGTAATTTATGTGTGTTAATAAAGCTGGCACCTAATGTGTGGTCTTGCCTGGTATAAATAGGTTTGACTGTACCTTTGTTATTTCCTCAAATAAGGAAAGAGAATGGGCCTCCCCAGTATCAGACAAAGTTCCTGCGATTTTCATTATCCCTGCCGTGTTCACAACTGCCCGCAAAGGACCACATTTATCTACAACTGTTTTGATAGCCTGTTTAACACTACTTTCTGATGAAACCTGTGCAGTGAACAATAACATTAAGAAAATCAGTTTTCAGCTACTGTTGTTAATGTTGGCAAACTATAATCCTTAAATTTCTTTAGGGATCTGTTCAACCAGATTGGAACCCCTTCCATGCCAAAAATGGATTTCGTTTTCTCATTCCCCTCGAAAATATAGTGCTGACACAGCCACCCCGTCAGAAAACCTCATCTTTACAAGGGGCGGGGCGGGGGGGTGTGCGGCTAAGGAATAGCCCAGGCCAGTTCCACTTACATCTGCTGGGGCGAAAATGCAGCTGTCTCCCAGATCTCGCGCCACCCTGTCACCTTCACTCGATGGCAGGTCCGCTAAAACGACGTTGTAGCCATTTTTAACAAGTCTCTTTCCTGTGGCTAGCCCTAAACCACTTCCTCCTCCAAAAACGAGGGCACAGAGGCCCTTTCGCACCGCCATCACCGCGCCAGCGACCCTGTTAAAGATGGCAGCGGAATAAACCAACCTTGGACATTTCGTTCACTATACATAACGTGGTGACATTTATCAACCACACGTGCCTAAGATGGTGAACAAAACCGTGTGAAATATTTTTCACTTTAGTTTCCTTCCTTACTGAATGGTCCTTTCTCTTTACAAGACATTTTTGGCATTTTCTGAAGGACCAATCTTGGAGAAATGTCGTTTTGCCCCGCCGGATTTGAAGATTCAGACTCCGATGATGAGGGTTTTTTCATGGGAGGTTCAAATAGTTACAGTCCCAAAACGGTTAATAACAAGCCAGATGTGAATGGTATGACTGGTGCTTCATCAAAGAACTTCTCTGGAATACCTGCTGGAGCAGGATTTTGCAATCCACATCCTGAAGACCTTGAATTTGAAACATCGAAAGCTCAAACGGATGGAAGGAGAAAACAACACTCATCTCAGAAAACAAGTGACAGTAGAAATAACGGAGCGACTGGTCTCGGTAGAGGCAGAGGACAGCTGCAACAAAGGGGAAGAGGGAGGGGAGGGTTTCCAAGGCCTCCATCATCGTACAGTAATAGGGGAAAATCATCAAGAAGGTTTGGACGGGATGAATAATACCCGGGAATAATATTACATTGATGCCTTCATTTCAGTAGACTTATCTAGCCTAACGCACCTCTCAATCAACAATGTTATCCCTAAGGGGTGGCTGGGACCATGGGCTGAGAAGGGAATCAGAAAATAAATTTTTAGTCAAATTCGCCCCTCCCCCTAAATTTCAGGGCTGACAAAAAACTTGAATTCCAGCTTGCTCTGTGGGCAATCAGTTCTTGCATTTTTCTTGCCAAAAGATTGAGCCAGTTCTTGCTGGGCTTTAATTGGTAATATTTTATTTAGAGGACGACTTGCCTGAAACCTCACCCTTTGGGCAAGGAAGCTTTAAAAGTTACTTGCCCAGCAAGAAAATCTACCTGTCCTGGACTGCCAGATGGGTTTTCTCGAGCCCTTCCCTTGGGCCAATCTTTCTGTTTAAAGTTTCCTACTGGGGGCTCATTTTTTTAAGAATTGAGGTGGCTAGAAAAAGTGAAGTGACACCAAAAGAAAGAACCTTCTGACTCAACAAGTATTTGGCTTTTGTTTTCAGAATAAGCAAACGTTGAATTTACTTGTCTCAAAAATTCAAACTGGTGGCTCCTTCTACCTGATAGTAATTTATTTTTGAAATTCCAAAACAATTTCACACCTGAATTTTGAGCAACTTTTAGTTACGGACTTCTGCTCCAACGATTATTCTGAAATTCCCCTGGCATATTTCTTATATCAATTAAAGCCGATACCAGAAATTTCAGTAAAAAATATCAGCAAAATTTTTTACTAGACCCGATTTTCTTTGAACAATAGGGTCCTTTTAAGCATTAATTTCTCAAGAAATATTTACCATCAATGAAATCGGAATATTTCGTATTATTGCCGAATGAAATCTGTTGTTCTTTGCAAAGTTTTGCAGCCATCGCATTAAAAACCAAAAAGTTATGATGGAAAATTTGTCACAGCAAAATGCTCTTGTATTAATTACGGAGCCACCTTAAGTCCTTTGTTCTATCACTCTATATACTTTGTGATAAAAATTGGTAAATGTGATCTACAGGAGTAATTTCTCACCGAACAAATCAACACAAGCAGAGACCAGAAAAGCATCATTATCACTAGCTGTTGATGACTTGCGAGTTGCAGTTGAGAAAGGGAACATCGCTGCAGTTCAAAAGTATTTAGATGATGGTGAGTGTTTTTTGACTGTAGACTCTCTAAGTTTTTTGGAATAATATTATGAGTCACTCTGAATTAGATCAGTTCATTGATCAATTTTTGTTAGTGGTATGAGGGTTAATCCCTTCAATCTTGAGCTGCAACTAACCACCTGCGTGGAACGACGTCTCTTGTACTCCTTGTGATGTCATCAGTTTTAACAGTCATAGACAACTTCAATGTCTTTCTAGTGCAGGGGGGGAGGTATTTTGAACCATACCAGAATAAGCACAATTTAATCAAACGGGCCAGAAAAAAAAATTCTTAAAACAATGCAGCACAAAGATAAGCATCCAAAAAGTGCATTCAATATCTCTGTCCAAAATTTCTGTACCTAAATGCATCTGGATCGACTGTGTACGTGTAGGTGCATCATTGACATAATTATCTGCATAAAGCTCATTAGTACGCAAGGCTGTCACTCAGTTCCAGGGACCAGGGACTACATGTAACTACCCCTGGCTACTTTGGTAAGAAGTAAACTAAGGAAAATAATTTAACCAGAAGAACTTCGTTGCTGTTAAATTCCTATGCCTACTAACTGCATATAGATTTCAAGTTGTCAGGTTTATTTAATTTATTTAACCTACTGTAGGTTGATTCTCAATTTCCTATGTCTCGTAGCCCTAGAAAACAAAAAAAAATGAGCATGAACCTAGGTTAAAATTTTTTATCCTGAAATTGAATTTGACCTGTAACATACAGTGTATACATGAGCTAGAAGCCTTATTATCCATTATTGGATTGATTGTTGTTTCCTATTAAGCATATTTCTCTCCGTTTATTTGGTATACATTTTCTTAAACATTCTTAAAATCTTTTTCCAAGCTTCCAAAATTAATGAAATATTTTTTGTCTTGCAGGGATTGATCCTGATGTCCATTTAAAGTCTGGCTGGACCTGTCTGATGTTAGCAGCTAGTTCATCATCATATGAATTAATGGAATTTCTAGTAAACAGAGGGGCAAATGTTAACTTCCATAAAGGTATACGTTTTAGAGGAAATGGGATAAGTTTGCAACAATGTTATTTAGCTTTTTTACTTGCATTCTATAGGTAACTTTTTTTTCCTAAAGTTGGATAGTGATGAGGTAAATTGCTCACTGTTAACCATTTTAATGTCCGCAGTGGCCATTGTAAAACTTCACAAGCATTCCATTTTTTTTTTGTTTTTTTGAATCAGGAAGGGATAAATAGTTTCTGTAACACACAAGAGTTCTGCCAAAGACGTTTTATTTGAATGGCAACACTAAAGGATTTCATCTACAGATTTAAAACAATTTAAACTGACAAAACACACTGCCGCAACTTAGTGACACCACTACTAGTTTTCCCGCAAAATGATGTTTGAGGTATGTCTGCTGAAATTCTATTCTAATGGTGTGTCACTACCTGGGTAGTACTTCTGATTCGTTGAATCAAATTTCCCTTGTTGCAAGACCGATCAGAAGCACTACCCAGATCAGGGTAGTGACATGTTATTAGTATGGAATTCCCCTATTCAATCATCCCCGTGACTTGAAATCCGGAGTACCCCGGGGTCAATTCACAAGGAAACCAGTGGTGACATTGCAGAATGTCAGCTGTTTCCTCAGGCTACCTGTTTTGGGAAATTCTCTCTGAATAAGGCCTAAGCCATAGAAATTTACAATGTACATGTACCTCAAACCATCATTTTTGTTATGACTGGTTTCACATACATGTATCAGTGCAGTTGATATTAGGTCACTTTTGACTCCTTTTTAATGCAGAGATGTACACTGTGCTGATGGCAACATGTGCAACATCTGCACGCATTCCAGAAGAACAGGTTTTCAAGTGTGTTGAACTGCTGCTACAGAAGAATGCCAGAGTCAATGTTTACGATAAGTNAAATAGTTTCTGTAACACACAAGAGTTCTGCCAAAGACGTTTTATTTGAATGGCAACACTAAAGGATTTCATCTACAGATTTAAAACAATTTAAACTGACAAAACACACTGCCGCAACTTAGTGACACCACTACTAGTTTTCCCGCAAAATGATGTTTGAGGTATGTCTGCTGAAATTCTATTCTAATGGTGTGTCACTACCTGGGTAGTACTTCTGATTCGTTGAATCAAATTTCCCTTGTTGCAAGACCGATCAGAAGCACTACCCAGATCAGGGTAGTGACATGTTATTAGTATGGAATTCCCCTATTCAATCATCCCCGTGACTTGAAATCCGGAGTACCCCGGGGTCAATTCACAAGGAAACCAGTGGTGACATTGCAGAATGTCAGCTGTTTCCTCAGGCTACCTGTTTTGGGAAATTCTCTCTGAATAAGGCCTAAGCCATAGAAATTTACAATGTACATGTACCTCAAACCATCATTTTTGTTATGACTGGTTTCACATACATGTATCAGTGCAGTTGATATTAGGTCACTTTTGACTCCTTTTTAATGCAGAGATGTACACTGTGCTGATGGCAACATGTGCAACATCTGCACGCATTCCAGAAGAACAGGTTTTCAAGTGTGTTGAACTGCTGCTACAGAAGAATGCCAGAGTCAATGTTTACGATAAGTAAGCTGTTTTAATAATGATGCTATTAAAATATTCTTTGTGAATTAACCCCTTCCTTCTATTCATATATTCTGCAATTCTTTTTTTTCTGCAAACTACCTAGATATCGCATGTCTCCGTTGATATACGCTGCAAGAGAAGGAAGAGTTAAAGTTTGCGAGAAGCTGTTAGAACAGGGTGCTGAGATCAACAAGCAAGATATGCGTGGGTGGACGGTGAGTGTGGTTACCTGTTTTAGGTAGTTGGTATGAGTCCTGAAGATGAAACTAGTGTTTGCACTTGCTTTAACTTCTTGGAAACATTAGGATCTTTTCTTTTAAGCTTTGTATCACACAGATGTGTTGCTCAGCAGTTTTTTGAATCTCACTGTATATAAATATCAAAATTGTGTTCTAATGTGTTTCTTAGTCTTTGTCATTTGCGGCAAGCCGTGGTCATGGTCGAGTTGTACGCACCTTGCTGGATCTCGGGGCAGACCCTAAAGTTTATTCCAATGATGGACAAACTGCAAGTGATATTGCCTACTCTAACGAATACCATGCTGTAAGTTCACCTGAGTTCTTTTGTCAGTTCATGGTCACATAAAATAGAACAGTAAATAATATTATTCCTGATTTCTGTTGCTAATTTTTAGAGTTGTCTAACATTTTAAATGAAATAATAAGATTTCAGATATTATTTCCTTTGTGGCGAGTGGAAAACAGGTGGCTAGTACAGAAGCTGCTACTGAGGAAGCTATGGAGCAAAGAAGGTTAGAGAACAAGGCTCAGTGTTAATGCTCTTAGCTTCTGAAAAATGCACACATCCTTTTGCTGGGTAGAAAATAATTTAGCGGCAAATACTAGCAAAACTGCACTTCATAAGCCAACCCTAACCCCTAACCCCTAACCCCTAAACAAATTCTGTTTGTGAAAGGAAATGAATCAGGTTTCTTTAATGAGGTCTCTTGTTGTAAACAGTGTAGCAAAAAAGGTCTTGGTGGCACACCTCTACCCCTACTTCTGTTGAGTTCCTCTCCTCCCAGGTAATAAACCTTGTTTTGAAATTTTTCAAAAATTTTTTGCCATTATTTGTAGTGTTAATATAACAGAAGACAGCTCACTCAGTTATGGTAGCCTGGAGTTATTTCTTGCTGGACATGAACTAACACATCTATTGCCCAAATTTCAGGTAAAATATTACCATGAAACTATTTGCTTGTTCATGGAATAATTTATTATGGCCCACATATAATGGAATTGAATGAATGTAAGTGTTTCAGGGCTGTAGCCAGACTTCAGAACAAGATGAGGCAAGTCTCAAGCGCTGAATGCGCAAGGTGCTGAGGGCATGCCCCCCTAGAAAATTTTGAATTCTAGAGGCTCAGAAATGCTCTTGTAAGCATTTTCCGTGGTATTTTTCTTCAGAAAAGTCAATCTTGGGCAACTGTAGAAGTTCACTTTTTTATTGCTTAGCGATACTGATGCCAAGTTAATGACCATCTGAATTTAAAGCATTTGAAAAACCGCTACTCACCGTTCACATGAAATGAATTAACCTCATTAAAATGCTTTTCCCCTCAATTCATCCACCTTATATTAGCTGGTCTTACCTTCACCAATCCGATTTTTGCTAGGGATTATTTTCTCAATTAAACGTTTCTTCCCCCAAAAAAGGCCAAAATCAAGACGAGGCAACTGCTACCTACAGCCCTGTGCTTTTGTTGAAAGCTGGTTTTCACTTGCGATGGTGTCAGAGTCGGAGTCTTAATCAGAAGGGTACAACATGACGTTCCAGTGAAAACAGTCGTCTGATTCCTCTTATGACTGTGTCGGGTACGATCTAGTGAAAAATAGGTTGTCTGAATCGCAAGCAAAAGCGGAAGAGCAAAATCAATCCTTCCCCTTCTGCTTCTGAGTTCGCCTGACAAAACAGCCAACAATGCACGAAGCCACCACTGATTTTCGCTCGAAATGAAGTCTGTGGAATGAGTGCGAAAATTCCATACTGATGACGCGTCACTACCCAGATCTGGGTAGTGCCGGCTTCTGATTTGTTGAAAATTTGCTTCATGCTTCAACCTTTATAGAATACACCGGTAAAGACTTGTATTTTTTTCATTCTTCAGGAACACAAGGTTACATTTGATGGTTTCTTGAGTCTGACAGAAAAGGAACTGGACCAGGTACATACCTATTAACAGTCGTCACAAGTTAGCTTTAAGCCCCGGCCAAACCCAGCGCTCAAAATGATTTTCAGACGGTGGCCGGACATGATGACCGGCAGCCGCCGTAGCGGACGCGATCGTTGGCGCGAGCAAAATTTTGGCTGAGGAGCTGCGAAGTCGTGCGCAGAATGGGTAGTTAACTATTCCTTGTGTAATTTTCTATCGGAATTTTTAGAAAGAGACAATAATGAGGGTTTGGTTGTTTGTTCAAGAATGAGAGTCTGTGTGACCAGTGAACATGGCTGGCAAGTGAAGTTTCGGGCCGGACAAGTCGCCATATTGACTAGAAATTATCCGTTGCCCGGCCGTTATTTTGAGCCCTGCAAACCAATGCAACTTATTGATACAGCGGTGAAGATAGAACGACCAGGTGTAGAAAACTGCCTCATGCAACTCTTGTTGTCTAGGTATCTGTTCAATCAAAAGGTTATGGACATTTATTGTTAACGTGACAGTTATCTTCTTTATTCAATCAGATGGGA